TTTTTAAATTATACCAAATTAGAATATTTTGCGTCATAGAACATTTTTGTTTTTGTCTAAACCTACAATGAAATTAATACACCAAAATAAGTTTTTTTTAAAATATCTAATTAACAATTTATTATCATTTATTCGTGAATAAAATTAGATTTTGAAAAAAGCTTCATTAACGCGATGGTGAGTTTTCTTCTTTGGCAAGAAAGTCGGTATCTAAGGGTTTTATAACGCTAGAATCACAACTATGACGTCAAATGTAAGTTTTTATCATTTTCTGAATAATCCACATGAATATTTTTACACTGTTGGACATATGTAATATTATTGTACTGCACTAATCAACGTGAAAATAACTTCTGGCATTTGCTTGCTAACAAACCTAAGGGGTTTCTGTTGACAAGTGAGAATAAGTAATTTCATAAATACTCCCACTTTTTGAATAACGTGTTCATTATAAAAATACTTAAAGGAATTCTTAATAAATCGACTTAATCGGAGAAGCAGAACAAAAAGGGCTGCATTCTCAGGGATTAGGATATTCAAAACAGCCTTGCCCTCCACAAAGAGTTGTTCATTCAAGTCACACTTATGACTGATAACTAGACAGCAGACTGGCCTGAAATCCTCACACAAGACTTAGGATACACCTTAAAGGTGTGTACACACTAAGCAAATCTTGGCCAACGAAAGACAACCAACGTTGGGCCGAGCGTTGGTCCCCAACTCATTGGCCATCCTTGGCTCATCCTCATCAAACCAATGGGTTGGGGGCCAAGGGATTCGGTGGAATGGAAGGTTGTTCTAAAAACAAACAAAATTTGTCAACGTCATCAGCACCACTTTCAGTTTTGTTTTTTTCTCTTTATCTTTTACGGCGAAAATATGATAAAGATTCAGTTTTCTTGTTCACACTACCCTCTAAAAACTCACTTATTTCCCTCCAAGCGTCTATTCTTTTCAATTTGTTTTTTTATGTACAGTTCGTGGGGTCCCATAAACATTGCCGTTCACGATAAAGTCCGATCTGTTTTATTGCAGTCTTATTATTCCACTTCATGTTGCAGCGTTTTTCAGCACAAGATGATTGAACCAACGAATGTTCGAGCTGGCTTCTACATTAAGAGGAGGTCTTTAGGCCAACCCAACGTCAAATCTTTTAAAGTTACCGCCAGCAGCGAGGCGTTGGCTGAAATTTACTTAGTGTGTACGCAGCTTTATAACAAGATGTGGACAACCTGAAAATACTTCTAGGACCGAAATCCGTCTTGACCGTCAACACTAAACTAACCTTATATAAGACTTCACTGCGACCACTTTAAGCCAGGAACACACTTACCCGATGCTACGCCATGCGACGCTACCCGACGCATATCCAAACTCCGATTTTCCATAAGGTTGCATTACCCCCGTGCACATCTACCCGATGCTACCCGACGCAAATCCAAACTCCGATTTTCCATAAGGTTGCATTACCCCCTGCACATCTACCCGATGCTATGCCACGCGAACCTACCCGACGCTCTGCGATCCCCACTGTCCAGATTTTCGTCGGGTCGCATCGAGTACTGTCGAAGACAAAAGAACCGGACACTCATATTTTTATTCAAACTACATGTATTACTGTCGATATATTAATTACAACATACTAATTTTAATATAAACCAAATTAACTGTGATTAATTAGTTTTTATTTAAAAAAATAATTTTAATGGTTTGGTAGAAAATTAATCAAAACACCGGAATACGATTTTTTGATATAATGAATTTTACTAACAATTTGTTGTATTCGCTTCGGCGGTACATATACTAAAATTGGAACAATTTATTTCATAGTTTTGCTCGTAAAATTGCACCATTATCGTCGGGTAGCATCAGAACAGGACACTCATATTTTTTGTAGTTTATTCCAAACTAAGTACATGTAAGTTTGTCGTTATATTAATTACAACATGTTATTTTAATGTAAACCAAATTCATAAGTTTTTATAAACATTGTTTAGTTATCATGGTTAGGAGTAACTTTATTTAAAACAATTAAGTTTAACAAACAATTTATTAGATGGTTGTGCTAACATAAAATTTAGCTATCAATTTATTACAAAGTTTTGTGATACAATTGTGATAGTGATTATTGTGATAAACGCTGTGGACTGTACGCGACGTGTGCTTGCGTCGGATAGATGCGCACACCCTACCAAAACGTGCCAAGGCGTCGGGTAGCATCGGGTAAGTGTGTTCCCGGGTTTAGACATAACACATAACTGTGGTGTTCTGCCAAGCCATCCAACATCCAGCGCATCCAATCAAAAGTCCTCAGACAAATCGTCAAACCTCCCTACTAGGGCTCTAACCTCACTATCGACCTCGAATTCCTATTGTAAACGTACTTATCCATTCCCAACTCTAAATGTTTCACCCTAACCTCTCGATTAATCCTAACCCTACTGCTCGAACCCTGTCTACACATTCCCACCCTTGTCGCCATAATCGACAACGGCCTCGAAACCTCCTTTGCCCTTTAACCCTTCACATTGAGTGCCAGCATTTGCTGATTACTCTTGGTATGTGTCTCCGCGCGCAGCGCTGGCATTAGCATTAGTGTTGAGATAGTGTGAAAAATTGGTTTTGAGATCAATGTACTACCAAGTAAGGGTACAAATAAAATAATTAAAACAATAAATAAAACGGACCAACAGTTCGGCATGACACAGACGCTGTACGGGTTTAGCCTATTCTAAGGTCGTCATGTAAAATTCATAAATATCTGATAATTATTGAATAAACACTTCTTTCCTTTTAATGTTACTTAATTTTCTGTTTCTAAATTATTTACAAAATTATCTTTAAAACCCCACTTAAAATGAATAATTATGTTAATTGTGTTAATTTTAAAAAATACATGGTTGGGGATTTATTTTATTTATCTAAAATTACTCGGACCTGCATTCTTTTTTTTTATTTGTATGTTTCGATAACTCACCAAGTGTACTGTTAAGCTCAAAAGCCTCGTGAGTGATTGATCCAGAGTGGTGACTGATTTATATAAGCTCAAATTTGTGCACGATGTACATATATAAACACATGACAAAGTTGAGCCTATCACTACTCACAGTTGTCACGATCCTGGGTAGACCGCGAGTCAAGGGGGATGTCAAAACCCTTTCCAACCGGAAAGATTCCGGAAGTTTTAAGTGTGGGCGGGCGAAGTCAGGTGCGCTTGATCCGTGAAACTGTCCGTAAACCGTGTTAATGAGATTTGGAGAATAAAATTTAAAGCAGGCGAAAGAAATAATTTTCATTTAGCTAATATTGTTTGTTAATTGGTGGAGGGTTTATCAATATTTAAATTAAATTTCTTCCTTTTTTCTTAATATTTTACTCTACTCCCTCTACTCTCTAATTCCACTTCCGCTAGAAGGAAGCCGGCAGAGAAAGGGTGACAAAAACCATAGTAACGAAGCTTTTTACAAAATTTGTTTACAAATTTCATTCGCAATTATATGATCATAAATCGTTATTTAGAGATTAAAAAAATATTATTTTTGCTGTGTTAATTTCATTGTTGGTTAAGATAAAAACAAAAATGTTCTATGACGCAAAATATTCTAATTTGGTATGATTTAAAAAGATAAACCCTCAAATAATCCTTTTTTGCATATTTTAATAAACATTCAGTAAACAAAGTTGGCCAGAAAATGGTCAAAAATTGGATATGACATCATTGTCGTGATTCTAGCGTCATAAAACCCTTATAAAGCAAGCTAGGAGATTTTCATGGTTAATAATTCGTTTTAAAGAAAATCGGACTATAATTTTCCTTTAAAATACGATGTTAATTTCTTACAAAAATATTTTATTATTTTGTGTATTTTCTTATAGAAATCATTCATATATTTTTATGGCACACGTGTCTTTAAAAAGCTACGTTCCTGTTCTTTCAAATGGTATGTTTGACATTAAAATCTGTGTAGCCGTTTTTGATTTACAGCCGTCTCAATCAGATATTCAGATAACGACGTCATAAAACTTCAGTAAATTTAATTTTAAACAAAAATTTACAGTTAGGGGTCTCTAGAGGTGATAAAACGAAATTTTAGAATAGTTTCAAGAACAAAATTTTTTTATGACCTGGTTTACCTGGAAAATATTTGGGTTTTAGAAATTTTGTGATTACTGTCAAACTTTGATAGCCTTTATTATAGTTTTTATTGCAATCGAAATAAAAATATTGAAAAACGTAAAATTTCAATGTTAAAATTTTTTTTGGTGATACCAGGAAATGGTGGATACGTTTTCTTTCGCAGAGAAGATTTTGGGAGGATAGAATGTCAGAAGAACATTCTATTTTAGACTAATTTTAGTTCCAATTTTTACAGAGGTAAAGTTTCAAGATGAAGATACAATTTTCCGATTAGGTTGTTTTTAGGAAAGTTGGGTTCGATATTTTGGAGTGCAGAATCAACAAAAAAGTTTAGTCCATATCAGTGACACATCAAACCGGTCGTCCCTTGCTAGACGGATTACAATACGACCTATTTACTTTAATATGGACTGTTACTTCCCCCTGCCGAACAGGTACTTTATTTGTGATTTACCCAAAGACAGGAAGTCACATACAGGGCTAAAACGAAAACTAAAACGTTACACACTATCGTCACCACTACTGTCTAGAGGATCCAACATTCAAATAAACTAATAAAGGTTGATACACCATGATTCCATAACTTGACTTGTGGTATCGAAATTTAGAGGTCAAACAGGTACAAACAAAAGGCCAAATTTTTTTTTTTCATTTTATCAATCTTCATACAATACCGAGACCTTAGCATTCCCTTTTTCAGAAGTAGACGTCAAATTAGTTTATTTTTTATTTACTTCTGGTATATAAACACTGGCGTTCTCATCGCTCACTCTTTAAATGCTTGAAAATTGTGTTAAAAATTATATTTTCATTTTGATTTTACAGAACGTTAATATTTTACTTTTGTTTTTGTCAATTTTAGCCGGAACGGATGATATTGTCAAAAGTGACATTTGGTTTCACTTCAAAGAAGGATACAACAACGCCGTCAGGAAGAACGTATACATGTCGGATCTTCTCTAACGAGTAACTAGGTAATTACCTTTATTACTATTAGTTTTTATTGTTATTTAGAATTTTTTTTAGTAAATCGAATAAATCTAAGGCTCTTAACCTGATTCTAAAACTTTGTTAACTAACGGGTACCATGTGTGTGTCTTTCGGTCCTTGGGCTTCCCACTCTTAGGACTAGCAATCTTAATCTGGATACAGAAAAGGTCTTCGCCTCAATCTGCATCTGCACAGACTTGTTTCTGCTGATCCAAAACATATGCCTCTAGAGTCTGCACTGTCCAGTCTTTCTATAATGATCATCTTGACTCCAGAGTCTGCACTGTCCAGTCAGCGGTACCATTCTAGTTCTATTCTTAGTTTCTGGGATAGTTGTTTGGTTATTTCGCATGACTGTGTTCTGCGGTAGATTATCATTGACCCAAGAGCTTATTTTTAACCCCCTTGTCAGATGGATCAACGATTTCTATGACGCCAATGGGTCTCATCGAACTGTGCTTCGCCAATTTATCAGGCTCACTTTTGCCCTAGTATCCAAATTAAATGATATATTTACATTTTTGTTGGTATTTTTAGTTAAGAACGCTAGCCTGTAGGAATGTTGTTCACAGTCTTTTCATAATTTTTTCGTAATCGCAAAGTTTTACTATTTTACTTATTAAATTTTGTTTTCGTTTGTGTATTTGTTGGTCTATTACAATCTTTGAAGTTTCGTTAACAGTCTTCTGCTACGGTAATAAAACGTGTTTGGATTTGGGAAATTAGGTTCAAAGTTTCTCTTCGGGGAGAGGTAATTAGAGCTAATAACTTTTCAAAAATCAAATTCCACTTTTTCACGAAAATATGGTTTTAGTTTTGTTCACTTTTTGTTATATACTTTCATACACAATTGGAATTTAACCTTACAAATTTGTTTTGTAAGCTAATAACTTTTTTCCTCTCATTCCATTTTTGAATAGCTTTTGCCCAGCAACTAAATATAACACCTTTTACATGCTTTTTTCTCCACTTTATACTGTCATAAAACAAGTGGAATGTTCAGTCGTAAGCTACTTTTCTTTACTTTTGTTTGCCTATTCGTTCCTATAAGTTTAGTTCATTAATCTTGAAAATTTAATGAAAGATGAGAGAGTTTATTGTTGGAACTAATTAATTTTTATCTAGTTTCATTTCTTCAAAAAATGTATCCTTTTAGTTTTGATCCTTTCTATTATGTACTATCATAAAGCAATTTGAATTTTAAGTTATATTCTCGAAAAATAGCCATTATTTGAACCAGTTCCCTTTTAATCTAGTTCGATTTTTCTTTTCAAAGGTATCCTTTTACGCTCACTTTTTATTATGTGTTATTTTGTCTTAAAACAATTTGATTCTTACGTTGTCAGCTACTTCTTGGAAAAGGCCATTATTTGAACCAATTGTCTTTTTTCTAGTTCCATTTTTTCTCCAAAAGCACCCTTTTAGTTTTGTTCACTTTTTATTATATACTATCATAAAACAATTGGAATCTTACTTTGTAATCTACTTCTTGGAAATGGTCATTGTTGGAACCAATTACCTTTTTTCTAGGTCGATTTTTCTCTTTTTTTAAAAGGCATCCTTTTAGTTTTGTTCACTTTTTATTATATACTATCATAAAACAATTGGAATCTTACATTATAAAGAACTTTTCGTAAAGAAGCCATTTTTGGAACTAATTACCTTTATCCCTTGCTCCATTTTCTCCTCAACTTTACAAAAACTATGTTTTTGTTTTGTCCACTTTTTAGTACGTACATAGAATTATAAAACAGTTGGAATCATACATAGTAAATTTATTTTGTATAATGTTGAAATATATTATTCACGTTTGCGAATACACTGTAATAAAATAGCATTAAAATTAAAATTAAAAGCAACCTTTCTGGAAGGGTATATATTTCTCTTGTTACTTATTTTCTCAGGTGTTAAGTAAAAACACCATATAAGTTTTATTGAGGTTGTAATAAAACGCTAACAGTCTTTAAATTTCTTTTTATTTTCATTATTTATATATATATCGTATTTTTAATACAGATACAAGATTTAATTGGTCTCGCATATTGTCCCTAGGCGTATATAATTATTCTACCTTTATAACATCTATATACATTCTTTGGCAATTTATACATAATGTTTTTTTTTAAATTATTTTCCTTCGCATGTCGGCTCCTTTTGGGATTTGATTTAAGCATAGACTACATTGCACTCGATTATTTTTATTTTTATACCTACGTTTCTATAACTAGATCTACGGCAAATCCGGCAGTGGCTAAAGATTTTTTTTGGGGTATTTTCTAGAGAGTGTTGACTGGAAAGACTTAATTATTTAGTGAAATCTGCTTTACCACGGTGAATTGTTTGATATACAGACTCTGTATTGAAATTTGATATTTCAACTAGCATAAGTACTAAAATTTGAAGAAAGTCCATTTTTTTAACACTTCGGTTTCGATTTTTTTTGCAAGAATTTGTATATCACAGCCAACTGCGCACGGTAATATATAATAGATAAATTATTTTATTTTTAATTACATTTTGATTCGCTTCGGCAAAGGTGGCGGTTTTTTAGGCATTTGTTGTTGTTTTAGAACAATGCTGCAAAGCATTAGATCGGAAAACCTCGATATAAAAAAAAGACGCTACTAAAACCCCTCGAGAAGAACTCATTCTGTTGATTTCCTAATTTTCATCGAGGCCGTTTATTTTCTAGTCGAGATTAAATACAGTTCGGTTTAAACGTAAAAATGCCATTTCTCCGCCACAAACAGTGTTAAATAAATCCTGTTGAACACTCGTATTTTACACTCTCAGCCGTTGAGAAGTGCTTGTCATCAATTATTCCTTTGGATGGTTCCTATTCGGAAGAGGAGGGTGCGGAATGCGGCGGCAACGGGGGCGGGAGGTGCGTCGGCGGGGGCGGCGTCCCTTTGAGGGCGGCGTGAAGCGACGAGAGCGACGGGAGAAGGGGCAGCGAATGGTGAAAGGTCGCCAAGGAATGGAGCAGGGCTGCTGAGTGCTCTTGTGCCTTTCTCCGGAGTTCAGCAGCAGAACTGTGACCCGCTGCTGTGGACGAGCCGCTGCCGTTCGAGCTGGAACCGTTCCTCGAATCGTCCGGGCAACAAGAACAATGACCTGAAACATATTTAATAAATTATTCATTACAGAAAACACCAGTCCCAAATATGACTTTTTGACAAACTTAGTCTTATTGATTTTGCATTTATTGACACTCTTCAGTCGACCAAAACGTTATAGATTTTTATGTTTATAACACGCCCATAATCATATACTACACATAACTAAATTTATAGTTTATAATGTATGCATTCATTCTAATCTTTTAAAATTCTTATTTTCAGGTATTTCCTCTACTTCTTCGAGTTTATTGCAGTGCGGATGACAGCGAATTTATATTTTATCTCGTATTCAAGGTCTTATGTATACAAAGCTGCCAGATGTTATTGTATAATATGTAAATAATGTAAATATAATTTGTATAAAATAAGTTTTTCTTAATAATTAAATACACGGTAATAAAAAAATACAAAGGTTGTAATTATTAGTTGTAATTTGTGTCTCAAACACTTTCATATCCCAATATAAGTAAGTAAAAATAAAGTAATTCCTGTCGTACAGGAAGGTCCATCAAATTTAATTTATTTAAATAAATAAAAAAATAAATATTTTAGTAACTTAGCTCATGGAGAGACAGAAACAAACTGTGGAAAAACCATCCTTCACTCATGGCTCCAAGAGACGACATGAACAGGAGATTTGAATTTAACCATAAATTCCGAATATATCTGGGCACCAAAAAGGAATGGGAAAGAGAGGGGAATAACTCCCTCAAAAATGGCACATACACAGATGGATCTAGAACGCAGGAAGGTACGGGGGCAGGAGTGTTCGGACCCGGAACCAAATACTCAGAACCCATGGGAAAGCACACCAGTATCTTCCAAGCTGAAATTCATGCAATTGAAAGATGTATCCAATTCAATCTAAATAGAGGATACAAAAACAAGAATATAGCTATCATGTCAGATAGCCAAGCAGCCATCAAAGCACTAAGCTCAAATACCATTAGTTCAAGGATGGTGCTGAACTGCAAAACCAAATTAAATATATTAGGCTCGCAGAATAAAGTCAGCCTCTGCTGGGTCCCAGGACACATGGGAGTAGAAGGCAACGAGAAAGCGGACACCCTTGCAAGAAAAGGGGCTGCCACACCGCTAATAGGACCCGAACCCTTCTGTGGAATAGGAATACACACTATTAACGAATACCTCAGACAGAAGGACAAAAAAAAAAAAATGAGCGAACTTTGGAATTCACTTACTGGACATAGACAATCCAAGAATCTTCTAACCAATTTTGGCAAGAAAGAAATCACAGAATGTGTCAAAGGAAGCAGGAATAGACTGCGAATCCTAACAGGATTCCTGACAGGACACTGTAGATTGAATGGACATCTAAAGAAAATTGGAATAATCCAAGATGGCACATGTAGATTCTGCAAAGAAGCAGAAGAGACACCAACACACTTACTAACAAACTGCGGAGCTACACTAGCCCGCAGGAGGAAGTGTTTTGGGATGTACAATGTGACCATAGAAGAACTACAACCACTGAAACCGGGCCTATTAATCAAGTTTCTTGATGAAATAGGACTCACCGATGTGCTTTAGGCAGAGCACAGGGGATACAATAGCTCTTAAAGGGCGCAGTATACCATACCCTGAATTATTATATCTATCTATCTATCTAACTTAGCTCAACACAAAATTAAAGTTAATTAAAATATATTTCAAATTTTAAAAATTCAATTTTTGAAAATCTAAAATAAATTAAAATTCTAATAAAAAATATATAAGATAAAAATAGTAAAAATAAACCAAACAATTAGATTGAAATGATGAATGGTGGAATGAGTGCGGTGTTCAATCCTTTTTAAAAAGATAGTTCAGTGAGTTGTTTTCCACCGATCCGGATTTCGAGCTTTTAGCTCATCATCAGGTTGTAGAATCCTTCAACCTGATGATGAGCTAAAAGCTCGAAATTCGTTTCGTTGAAAAACAACTTACTGTGAAAAGGAACTATCTTTAAAAAAACAAAAAAATTAGATTTCTAAAAATAAATTAACATAAATAAATCGTTTTGACAAAACTGCATTTAAAAACCAACAGATAACCTTCTTACATCTTGGCCATGCGGACTGTCGGCAAGTAATTTTTTTAAAAATATTGCTTAGAAATAATACAAAAATTATTAAATTAGATCCATGATTGTTATAGTTTTCAACTAGCAATAATCGCATTTCAGTAGAACTTCTTGATTACGATATTGCCACTGCTCAAGGTTAGATGCACGATTGTCATATCTTTTAAAATAAACTGCTCAAAAATTAATAGCGATATTGCCCATTTTGTAGTATTGGCTTTCCCTAGCACTTTTATAATTATTATATTTTTACTGAAGGAAAATATAATTAAGAAAATGTGAAAAATAAAAGGTTTTAATTCCGTAATTTTTTTATTGGGCATAATATTTTTTTCTAACAATTAAAACCGTGTATGTCCTCTGTTAGGTAAAACCTCTGAGTACTTGTTAGGCATACTGTTAATAAGGTTGTCTCTGATTTCATTAGGAATTTCACTCCATAGATGTTGCAACGGTGCACTCAGGTGTTGCAGATCAAATGGGATGGTGATCGAAAAGCCTACTGTGCAACGCATCCGACATGTGCGCAATAAGAAGAAAAAGGGAGAAAAGAAGAGAAATGGGAAATTCCCAGGTTTTCTAAACATTAATGAACAACTCTGCCTCTATGAGGTAAGGCATTGTCATCCGGAAATCGAAACTCACTGCAAATGAGATCCTTGGTTTGAGGGATAATAATCCTCGATAATTTCTTGGACATAACGGACTGTGGTGAGGTTGCCGTTAACTGTAGAGTCCAGTGTTAATCCAAGCTTAGACTGTACTGCTTGCTATCACTATACAGACAAAAAAGCGACTGATAGTAAAAATAACAGCATTCCAATTGGTGTTTCTCCTAGGCGCTCGCTGCACCATGATCTCGTGAGTTACTGATGGCGGCTGCTGCTATGATTACGAATCATTTGTGTCCATTAAGGCCTTGTCAAAACATCTTGTACTTCATTTATGATCTGGCCGGCACTATGGAAAGAGTTCGTCTTGCAGCAATGACAATATTTCTGTCCTCCCTTAGGGTCGTAATGTGCTGAGATCCACCACGACGTTCTGAGAAATGCCAACTGCCTCTGCGACATCCACTTTCGGTGACCTCGATGAATCATTCTCACAATAATATTGCGAATTTCTGGTTCAAGATGGTGTCTTTCCATGGTTAAAGAGAATACAACTGGATTAAAATGGAGAAAAGACAAGGAAATTGTATGTTTACAACATGTTAACAATCTTCATGTTAACCATTCTTAATAAAACGGTCATTAAAAATTAAGGTAAACATTTGTTTGTTTTTAGTTTGTATTTTCTATTTTGTTTAACCCAACTAAGAAGAATATATATAGGTTATTTTATTTAATATTAATAGAATAAGATTAAATTATAAATGTCCTATTCACTTTTGAGCAGTTTACAATATGGATATATTAAATTATTAATCTAATATTATATAAGGTAAGCTTTTAATAAATGGACGTAAAATAGAATATTAATGTTTTTTTAAGAGGGTTCGCAACAGCAGAGGTCATATAAACCCTCAGGGTGCCGGTGTTTTTGATTCACTCATTTTGATTGTTCATTTGTAAGTATGTATGTCGGGTTCGAATGCAGGGCCGCTGGATTCGAACCCGGGACCTTTACTTTACAGTGATGAGCGCCGTGTCAACGCCTAAACCGTTGCGGCCACCGACGCCCCATTTTTGTTATTCTTAAATATTTCTATAAATAATATATATTGCTGATGATGGGAAAATTCCCGAGTAAATGTAAATTCCCGAACTTCCAAATAAATATTAATAAATTTTGTTTTTACTTTATTATTTAAAAAATAACATGCCTGACATGATCCAACAAATTTGAATAAGACGGATTAGTATTAATATGTAATTCCATGTTTGAAATAAACTTAAAATTAAGTTAACTTGATAAAAAAACACATTCACCCATAAACACACTTGATCGCATCTCAGGTCATTTCTCGTCAACTGACAATGGGATTTAATTTTTGATTGATTTTCCCCAAAAAATATATCTTTTATGGGGGGGGGGCAATAACGACTATAATTAATAAATAATTGTATATTGTAGTTTTTCAATTCAACTAATTTGGTCGCCCGCAAGTTGATTTCGTGTTTTTGACCTGTCAAAATCTGGTTGACCACGGTCAGAAGTTGTGTCGTCAACATATAAACACAGAGTGGCAAAATGATAGTTTGCAACGTCTGATTTGTAAAATTCCTTTATTTTTATTATTTATTTATTTAAGACTCAAATTGTTTAGTGTATATAATAAAAATAAAATTAACTCAATTTTAAAAATGATTTTATACCAATTTAAGTAATAAAAGAAGTAGCAAGTTTACACTGACCACGGTGAAATACCGGGTCATTATGGTTAATTCAGCGAGGGCAGGCTGACCAGGATAATCGGAAGTAACCAAATTACAGGTCACCCCCGCAGATATTGACAATAAATCACAAAATAAATGCAACAATTACATTATCCTTAATAATTTTACAATTACATATCTAATAATCATTTATTGTCTGAATTTCAAACAGGTTTAGACGAACCTATTGTTCTGTTGACAATCTCTTTGTGTTGATAAATATTATTAAACTCCGTTTCCTTGAAAGAGGTAAGAAGAAATATTGCTTCTTTGTAGATTTTCGGGCAGCGTTTGACCGAGTGGACGGAAAAGCGCGTTTTAAAACTTTTTAATATTGGTGTATCAACCAAATTCATAAATAGTTATTCAGATATCGTGAGATGCGGTCGGGTGTAATGTAGGTTTCAGAAAAGCATTTTCTTTATCGTGCCAACGTTTCGATCTTTTATTGAGATCATCTTCAGGGCCTGGGATTTACAAACAATGTTTACATTTAACAAATACATTGGCACGATAAAGAAAATGTTTTTCTGAAACCTACATCACACCCGACCGCATCTCACGATATCTGAACAACTATCGATTAACGGTCACTAATCTCTACACAAATTCATAAACGTTATAAGGTATCTATATGCAGGTTCTCAGTCTGCAGTACGTGGAAAAGAAGGTATTTCGGAGTGGTTTCATGTGAACTCGGGGGTAAGGCAAGGCTGTGTGCTGAGTCCACTTCTGTTGTCATTATTTTTAGATGACCTGCCAGCTGCTTTAGATTCTGGTATCAGAATCGGCCATATTGATTAAAGTTCTAATGTACGCTGACGATATTGTTCTCATCGCCGACAACGCAGCCAGTCTCCGAAGGAATATAAAACTTTTGGAATCCTACTGTCTTCAATGTAATTTATCGGTTAATCTAAGTA